GTGCCCCTATACTAGGCATTTAGAACTTAGGACAGTTTCAGGGTTTTAAGGGACAAAACAGTGAATATGTTTGTGAATGGGGCCAGATCTGCAGCCTTAGAAGTAAAATTCTGGGCTTAACTATGCTGCTGGGTATATGCTAGGTCAGCAATTCTCAAAGCTTTGGGGCTCAAGATCCTTTTATATTATTAAAATTTATTGAAGATCCTCAAGAGCTTTTTATAATGTAGCTTATATCTACTGATAATTAGAAATTACAACAGAGCAGGGAGCCTGGGTAGCTCAAATGGTCAAGCGTCTGACTTCAGCTCAGGTCATGGTATTGGGCTGCTGGGACTGAGTCCTGCTTGGGGTTCCCTGCTCAACGGGGCATCTGCTTGTCCTTCTGCCTTTCTCCCCATTTGTATTCTCTCTCTCTCTCAAATAAATAAAATCTTTTTTTTTAAGATTTTATTTATTTATTTGACAGAGAAAGAGAGATGGTGAGAACAGGAGCACAAGCAGGGGAGTGGGAGAGGGAGAAGCAGGCTTTCCGGTGAGAAGGGAGCCTGATGTGAGGCTCGGTCCCAGGACCCTGGGATCATGACCTGAGCTGAAGGCAGACGCTTAACTGACTGAGCCATCCAGGCGCCTCAACACTATTTTATATTTTTACACATATTTATCTGAAGAGAAGAGAGCTGGATTCTTATATCTACTTCTGGATTTCATGTGTTGAAATATATTGTTTTGGTTGAAATAAAGTAATAAAATGCAGCCTCACATGGATAAGTAGTTGGAAAAGGAAAAGTATTTTAATGGCTTTTTCAGACACTTGTAGATCTCCTTTGATACTATGCCAAAACTTGACAAGTGGTGACTTCTTAAAGATTAGTTGTCCTAAGTAATCTGAAACCCCATCAATGAGCTTTCATACTCCGTTACATTAAAATCCAATGGTCATCTTGCACTTTGAAACTTTTTTGCTGATGTGTGATTCCGTAGCATTTTACTTGGTCATTTGAGAAATATTGGTTCACTGAATTATACAAACATGCTAAATTTGACACATTTCATTTTTTAATACCAAAAAATAACATTTGTTAATATCAACGTCAACGTCATTGAAAGGTTTTACATATTGAGAAGCTGTCAAGTTCATGGCAGCAGATCCAAGTTTTCCTAAATTCTGAGTTTAGCTTGGAAGCTAGATTTCTATCATTGGCAACAAATACAACAAATATTGTCAGCTGTTTTCCTTGAAATGACAGTCTCATTTCATTTATTCCTTAAGAGATGTCTGCCAAATACCCAAGTCCAAGTAATCCGTTCAAGTACAAATAGTGTTCCATGAGCCAAAAGCAGTGTCCCGAGGAACCTGTCACTCAGTCACACAAGTGCTGTTCCTCGACTATCCTCACACCTCCAGAGGCAACAAAGAGCTATACATGTATCTCCGGGCTCATAAAACAAAATTAAAAAGAAAAGATGTGTGTTCAAGGGTCAGGATTTAATACAATTAGTCATTTTACGGTTTCACCTTGAAAGAAACTGGCTTTTTTTAACTGTATGTGACGCTCCCTTTATTCAGACAAAAACGATTTTACCTACCAGTCCACAAAGTGAAAAAAGCGAATGTGTCAGTATTCTTATCAAAACAGTGTTGACCTTGTGGACTCTCCCTAGAAAGAATCTCAGGGACTCCACCAAAGTCCTAGGGGACACCTTGAGAACCACTGCAGTCGACAAAGCGTCTAGCTGCTAAGGCAACAAGGGTCTTGATTTCATGTGGGGTGTTGCTCACTGAGCATGTGTGAGCTAGACTTTTCCATCCCGTTGGCTTGAAGTCTCCCTGGTCTGTTGGTTTTTTTTTTTTTTTCCTTTTATATGTGACTTGAAACTTTTAATGTCACATTTATAGTTTGGCATGACTGCCCTAAACAAAGCCCTACAAACTTTCCACATCAACTGGCTATAGCTACCATTGGTGTTTTCATTTTAGGGCTTGAAGAAAAGGCGACTTGTATTGTGATCCTGATTCATGAATACAACACAGTTCCTCGAGCTCACTTGCCGCGTGTGAAAAAAGCCCCCTTTACCATTTCTCCCATTTTCTGCTCTTTCTCAGGACAAATTGTTAGTCTCTAAGGACACTTGTTGTCCACCACAAAGTATCTGATTTAAACATTGCATCCTTGTCTCCTTAGTCAAGTTCTGTATTTGTCTGTCAATTTTTTTCTTCTTCTTCTTTACTTCTTTCCCTTCTGGAGCTGGAAACCAGGCAGTGAGAGGATGACAAGTTTTAAAAGGTCATTTTTTGAATAAGGAATTGTCTGCGGGCAGGTTTTCCAGAGTGGTATGTTTTGTGTTTTAGTGAAGGGAGATGAGGTAAAGATAGCATGTTCCTGCTGGTCAGACCTGTCTGAAAGTCCAGGTTTCTGCACTACTTAATTTCTCCTCATTTACATATGTACTCCCTGAATCGATAATAAACTATGGCAAAAACAAAACAAAAAAAAAACACAAAAAACAAAATCTGTAGGCTTCTTATGAACCTTTAACTCTCCAAGGAAAGTCATATAGGAAAAAAGAAAAGTGTATCCACTTGGCTCTCCCCTTTCTTCATTAGGAAATCCTTTTCAATGTAGTTCAGTGTCGTTTACTCAAGGTACCATTAAGGCTAATTTTCTTTTTCCTAAAGGAAGAGACAAAGTAAATAAGATAAAAGAATAAGCAGTAATGTTGGTTGGGTTCCAGGGAATGTTATTAGCATCTTAATTGTGAAGACTTTTCAGTTTCGTGTGGGGTTGATTATTTAAACTCCCAGTGCTGTTGTTTGCACGACGCTGGGAGTCTGCCTGAACTTTCCTGGTCGCTACTGTCAGCAGAGGCTGGGTTATGACTAGAGTGGATCCAAGAGACTCCTGCTCGCTCTCTATTCACCCACCCTTGCAGGCTTTGAGAGGGGAGCAGACTCTTGCTACTTAGAGGACCGAGCTTCTAAGAAATTTCTGCACGTCACTGTTTAGCCTGATGATGTTTTGCGGGAGACAGCCATTGTTTGACTTCCTTCTTTCCCTCTCCTGTCTTTCTTGCTCGTATCAGTTTTCTCACGATTTGAAACAAATGCACAGAAACCAGTCAGTGCAGAACAATTGCTGGCTTTCAGTGTTCACCACGTACAGCAATCACTGAAATAACCCTGAGTTCTTACAAAAAAAAAAAAAAAAAATCCTTGTGTATTGACTTTCTCAGAGCCACAAGATCCATGGGAGGTGGTGGGTTTGATGTTCTGCCTTCCGAAAGCACTAGATTTTTGTTTAAAATCTATTTCCTATAGAGTGCATCTCCCTTCCTCTCCCTCTCCCTCTCTCTCTCTCTCAAAGTAATTACAGGCTGCAGAGTGAAAAGCATTAGAACTGTTTACAAAACAGCTCATAAAGTTTAAAATAATAGGGGTGTGTGTGTTTGTGTAAAACAAAATAATGTGTGTGGCTAGGGGGTAAATAGTCCACAGGCTTTCTTCTTTCTTCTCCCGCTGCCCTGCGTCACCCTCCAGAATTTAAGGCATGGAAATGAGCGGTGGAGTCCCTTTTCTTCTGCCTGGCGAGTCTCACACTTGATTCGCTACGCTTGTTTATCTGATGTCAGTTTATTGTTGCAATTCAAAATACAGACCCTCAGGTGTGTGGGGACAGAGTGGCTGACGAACCGGGCCACTATCTAATTAATTTTAGGGTGGCCTAAATTCCCATGCAGACATTCCCCTGTGACATCCAAAAGAAAGATTTTTTTTTTTTTAATGAGCCTTTTGCTATCAGAGGTCCAAGAGAAATGCTTTCAGCAGGTTAGTGCTCTAAAGTGAAAGGGGCATTCTTCCAACCCTTTCGGAAGTCTCGTCTTGGGCAGTTTTGCAAAGATTTCGCAGCACTCCCCTCCAGATCTGATTTATTTATTTATTTTAATGTGGAAGGGAAGACTGTACCCTCCGGCTTCAGAGCAATCAATCATTTTGCTTTGCAGGTTTAGATGTGCTGCGGCAAAACCCGTCTGCCGGCGGTGCAGCGCCAGGGCTCTGTGATAGCGAGGCTGGTGCTGACAGTTGAAGGAGGGCTCGGTCCCCTTAGGCGCTGGCACACTGAGGACACGGGCTGGACAGAGGGACAAGCCTCACCCGGAGGAAGCGCCCCTTCCCCTGGCGATTGATGGAGGACAGTTAGGAGCTTTTCGGGGGCTGGGCAAGGTTGCCCTCCCAGTCACCTACTATGAAGTCTTTGTCAGCAGAAAGAACTCTCCTGGGTAGTGAGTGACATAATGCAGATGACAAATGACAGCCTTGCAGTTGATTCTGCTTCATAAGTACTCAGTGTCTATGCAGGTGAGTCAGCGCGCCCTTAGCACACTCCCCTCGTGCCAGCCGCTCCCCAGATGCAAACACTCCCCAAACCCCCCCTGGTTTCGCAGGTGCTGCGGGCACTGCCTGGTCCAGCCTGAGTTTTCCTGGGGATGTTTCAAGGACTGTCAGAGTGTGAGCAGGGATGGGACCCATGTCACCACTTTAAGGAGCTGATTATGAAATGAAGATATATTTTGAGTGTTTTGTTAGCAGCTGTGAATATTGTTTTCTCCTGTTCCTCCCTTTTGGAGTATGGATTTTGTGTATATATATACACATATATATGTATATGTATATGTATATGTGTGTGTGTGTGTATATGTATACATGTATGTATATTTATATGTATATGTATGTATGTGTATATGTGTGTGCATATGTATATATGCATATATGTGTATGTGTATATGTGTGCATGTATATGCGTATGTATATGTGTGTATATGCGTGTGTATGTGTATATATGTGTGTGTATGTATATGTGTATGTTTATGTATATGTGTGTATATGTGTATGTATATGTGTATGCTGTTTCGAGAGACTTTCACACCAAAATCTATATCAAAACCCTTGACTGACATCTCCACCTTGACTGACATCTCCTTTGTTTCTTCTCCCCCTCTAGGACCCCATCTGCAGAAGTTCTGAAAACCTCTGAGTACAGAAATTGATTATTCAACCAGGATACCTAATTCAAGGTATTAGCTTTTGTCAGAAGACTTTTATATTTGAGCCCTGTGTTGGAAATTCTGTTTTGGCAATGCATTTTGAAATAGGAAAAGTTGGAAGGAGAAGAAAGGACAGAAGTGAATTTGCAAAATATTCAAGTGCTTACAAACCTCCCCAGCGCCTGGGAGGGTTTTGCCACATCTGACTCATGTGCAGCCCTCTCTCTAACAGTTCATGTGCCAGCTCTCACTTTGTTGTAGCCCTTTCTCTGCAACTGTGTTTGGGGTTTGGATGTCATTTTCATCTCTCCCTCTCGCTTTTGCTCTGACTGCCCAGACCTGCAGAAACCAGGAGGCTGAGACATTCTGTTGGTTTCGTGACATTGGACCAAACACAATGAAGTATACTTGCTGGGCTCTGGTTCTGGCTGTCCTGGGCACAGAGCTGCTGGGGAGCCTCTGTTCGACCGTCAGATCCCAGAGGTTCAGAGGACGGATACAGCAGGAGCGAAAGAACATCCGACCCAACATTATTCTTGTGCTCACTGATGATCAAGACGTGGAGCTGGGTGAGACACTGGGTTTTGCACTTGTTAGTCTTTTTTTGTGCAAATAATGTGCTGACCTTTCGCCTGATCAGTAACACTGAGTGAACATTGGCGGGGGCGGGGGTTGGTCCTTGACTAGAGGGTCTTAACCAGCAACCTGAGTTTATAAAATGAACTTGTATTGATTATAAGGCTTTGGGTTTTTATTTCAACATGACTTGTCTGGTCTTAAGTGTTCGAAACTGTCTGGGGAGGGTCCTAGAGTAAACGGAGAGAGAGAAAAAGAGCAAGCACGGGTACTATAGAAGTCAAGGATTCGATTATGCACCTTGGGTTCTCTTGATCAAGAAGTGTTTTATATATTTGGGCAAAATTGTTTCCAAGAGCATGAGCTTATGGCTGTAATTCTATGCCGTGTATGTGAACACACAGATACTATTACTCTCTTCTGTTATTATTATTCAAGTGAATAATATGTTCAGAGCTTGTGATAATTGCTAGGTAATTAAAAGTTACAGTATTCTATGTGTCTCCTGGTGGTAATTCACTACTACCACCCTGGAGATGAGGCTTTTCTGAAGAATTAGCTATCGTGTGTTCATTCCAGAACGCTTGGAGAGCCTGCCAAATTCTGGCCGTTCCAGCAGAGCTGCTGAACCATCTGATTCCGTTTCTTATCTTCTCACTTTCTTTAATGGCCCAGCTCTATGGTCTTGTCTGTAAATCTAGGTATGACTTTTCACAGGACTTTAGGACGCATAAGAGGCTCGTCCTTACAGATTGTCACCAGCACTCGTTTTCAGCCCTAGAACTGAACTTGGACTTAGTGCTAGCAGAGCAACTGGGCTTCCTTACAGAGCTCTGCAGGCCAGGGTTGTTGAGGAGCAAACCCCCCCCCCATACTGGAACATGGTCTCCATGGAGGAGGACTTCAATTTCCAGTTTGATACCAAGTCATGGAATCCCAATGGAGTTAACCCCTTGGGTTATGCTGGAAGCTTGTGCAGTAAAACCCAGCAGCAGGTAATGATTGTTGAAGTTGCTTTGCAGAGTCTGCTGTCTCTCACTTCACTTTTTAAAGAAGAGTATTGGGGCTCCTGTGTGGCTCAGTGGGTTCAAGCCTCTGCCTTCGGCTCAGGTCATGATCCCAGAGTCCTGGGATCGAGCCCCGCATCGGGCTCTCTGCTCAGCAGGGAGCCTGCTTCCTCCTCTCTCTCTGCCTGCCTCTCTGCCTACTTGTGATCTCTGTCTGTCAAATAAATAAATAAAATATTTTAAAAATAAATAAATAAATAAATAAATAAAAATAAAGAAGAGTATTGATTTTCAGGCAACATGCCCAGGTGAAGCCTCGGAGGTGTGACTTTAGTATGAATGTGGCTTGTACTTTAAGTTTTCGCTTACCTATAGAGCAAGTAAAATGAGGTGAACGCATTTGATTTCACCTTCCTTAACAGCCCTCAAATCCATCCCTTTCATTACAGCCAAGATCTCCAGACCATTCTCTTTTCTCTAGTGCTTCCCTAACCGATTAGTCAGTCCCCTGACCTACCTGTCTCCCGTAGTCTTGGTGCCTCTTGCCTATTCTTCACTCCATGATTGGAGTTATCATGCCAGTATCTGATCAGGTCTGCTCTGCTTAAAACTCACCATGGTTTCCCATTGGCAAGAGGATTAAGCAACTCTCCTCCATAGCAAATGAGCTCTGGACCATCTGGCCGCTGCCCATTTTTATGAGGCTCTTCCTTTTCCCCCACTTTTGCTCAGTGCTTCATGGAAATAACTCATGCCTCCTTGAAGGTGTCTGGTGGTTTCATCTCCCTCACCTACATTTCATGACTTTGTACGTCTTGTCTCCTCTGTCTTTCCCCTCCCTCTCTCTCCACCTGGAGAAGCCCTACCTATTCATGATCCAATTCAAATGCCTTGCCCTCGGGGGTCTTTCTTCACCAAAACCATTCTCCCCTCCAGCAGGGTAGATGGAACTTTCCTTTGTACCACCTTGGACATGCCTCCAGCGTGGCCCTTAATCCATCATGTATTTCCATACTTGTCTCTTCCACTAGCCTGCGAGCAAGGTAGTGTTTTACTGGGACCATGCAGGAAATACAGTAAGTGCTGAATAGATTCCAAGTGGACCAATGGGGGCCTGAGAATGCTAAAAAAAATTCTCAGAAGTGAATACAGGTATCTGTCGTAGTCTACCTCTTCAATATACAGTCCTCGTCTTTAAAATAAATTAAGGACTCATTTGACAATTTTTTTAACAGATTTCAAAATTTCAGCCTTTAGTTTCACCCTATAATTAGTTAATTTATCCAGCAAATATTTCCCGAGCAAATATTTCACTAAGTGGAAGCATATGGGTATAATAGACACAACTCGTAGCCCAGGTTCTATCAACCCAGTTGTTTCCTATGTATTTGTCTCTACCTCCTTCTTGATTTTCTTTTTTTTTTTTTAAGATTATTTATTTATTTATTTGACAGACAGAGATCACAAGTAGGCAGAGAGGCAAGCAGAGAGAGAGAGAGAGAGGAGGAAGCAGGCTCCCCGCTGAGCAGAGAGCCCAATGCGGGGCTTGATCCCAGGACCCTGGGATCATGACCTGAGCCGAAGGCAGAGTCTTTAACCCACTGAGCCACCCAGGCGCCCCTCCTTCTTGATTTTCTAGCCAGATACAATGCTAAGCATTCATTCATTTACTCTTCCCAATAATTCTGTGAAGTAGCTGCTCTTACTCTCTTTAATTAGCACATAAATAAAATGAGGCTTAGAGAAGTCATGTAGGCTGTGATGAACTAGTCGATGGTGAAACTAGGACCAAGTAATGTAGGACTAACATTTAACCATGATGCTTTCCATCAGTCCTTCAACTAATATTTATTGAGGACTTCCTAAAAGCAAGCCGTAAATGCATAGTGATATTTTAGGTTCTGAAAGAGAGATAACAGAAGGTCTTATTAGGTCTTATTATCTTAATAGGTCTTATTAGCTCATTGGCAGAACATAATGATGAACCACAGTGAACTGTGGGGTAGACTTTAGAAAAAGACCTCCTTTCTCTACCTTAACAACTATGCTCTTGGTAGTGGACACTGCCTGATGGAGACTTTCACCTAGACTTCTGTAATGTTCTCATAATCCTTCTTGAGCCAAACTGCTCTAGACTTGACTTGGGTTTTTTTGTTTCTTTATTTTGGCCATCCTTAGACCATTTTTAAGTGTGCAGGTAGTAGTATTAAGTACATTCACATTGTTTTGCAACCGTTTTCCAGAACTCTCCACCTTACAAAATTAAAATTCTATATTCATTAAACAATAACTCTATGCCCTGGTAACCATCATTCTACTGGACAAATTCATAGAGATGAATTTGACTGCTGTAGGTACATCATATAAGTGGAATTAAACCACTTATGACAAAGACAAAGTATTTGTCTTTTTGTGACTGACTTGTTTCACTTAGCCTAATACCAGTCCTCAAGGCTCATTGCTGCTATAGCCTGTATCAGAATTTCCTTCTTTTAAATGCTGGATAATAGCCATTGTATGTATATACCACATTTTGTTTATCCATTCATCTGTTAATAGAAGCTTGGGTTTCTTCTACTTTTTGATTATTGGAAATCTATGTAAATAATGCTACTATGACCATAGGTATTTAAATACTTCCTTAAGTACCTGTTTTCAATGCTTTGGAATAAATACCCAGAAATGGATCATTTAATAACTCGATTTCAACTTTTTGAGGAGCCTCCATCCTGTTTACCATAACAACCACACCATTTTACACTCCCCCCAACAGTGCACAAGGGCCCCAATTTCTCCACATCCTTGCCAACATGTGTTATTTTCTGGCGTTTTGTTTCTTGTTTTTGTAATACCCATCCTAATGGGTATGAGCTGGTATCTCATTGTGGTTTTCATATGACTGGGTTTTGCTTTGTTTTTGTTTTATTTTATTTTATTTTTACTTACATGTTGCTTTGCTTGCCAGATGCTTACATAGAATAGAATCACAAAACTATTTGCACCTGTCATACTGCAGGCAATTTTGGCTACTATACCTCGAGAAAGATATAACCGACTTAGGAAAGGCTTAGAAGAACAATGATAAAAATTGTAATAGAATGCTTTTCTTTGGGGGAAAGAAGGAAACTATTCTACTTCTTTGTCTGGGAAGACAAAGGCTGAGAAGGCTTATAATGGGAGTTTATGAAATCAAGCTCGGAAAGAAAGCTCTTACTCAGTAGGAATGGGGGCCACTCCCTCAACTTTGTCTGAGGACAAACAAAATAAACTAGTACTTTGTGAAGGGAGTAAGACACATAAGGAATTCATTAATAAAAGTGCTAGAACCTTGTATGTTATCTTTTTCCAAAGAACACTCGTTCTCATTATTACGCTTGTTTTCATCCCACCCAAGTTGGGTGGATAGGACAAAGATCATTATCCCAGGAGAAAAGTTAATCTATGAAAAGATGACATGACTTAACCACTGGTCCCCTAATGTCTGGATTTACTTTTTGCACAATTTATGCAGTAACTTAGGTCGTGTCTGTACCTGTAAGTAGTTCAGGTTTTTAGACTATATTAATAGGTGAAAGATTTACACTTTCTTTTAAGCTAGAAAAACACACATGGACATGATCAACATGAAGTTGGGATGATGGTTTCTTCTGGAGAAGGAGGAGTAACCAAGAATATCAATGATAATTCCACATTTTGCCTTAAAACTTGAAAACAATAACTGAAGCAATTATCATCAAATATTAAACTTTTTTAAAAGCTTAAGAGCTTGACATTTAAAAATATTAAAGCTAGGAATGCCTTGCTGCATCCCAAAGGTTTTGAAGAGTTGTGTTTTCATTTTCATTTGTTTCCATGAATTTTTTAAATTCTTTAATTTCCTTGTTGAGCCATTCATTCTTTAGTAGGATGCTCTTTAGTCTCCATGTATTTGAGTTCTTTCCAAATTTTCTCTTGCAATTGAGTTCAAATTTCAAAGCACTGTGGTC